ATTCTACTCGCCTTAATCCAGGCAGTACTTTTACCAAAATATGTTTATTATATAATCCTAAAGCTCAATTAAAACAATCTCTATCAAAACTATTTTTGGTATTATACTTTCAAGATCTTTGCCACGACTGCATCACCATAGCATAATCATCAAGATGATCCAAAATTCAAGCAGAAAATCTCAATCATCTTTATTTATAACATATATATAGCTCACCTATTTTAAAATTTAATAAATACATATACGAGTAATATACACTGCGTGACATTGAAAATGGAACACCAAGAAATAGTGGCCAGAAAGTGATGAAACTCGGCAGACAGAGAGAGACAGGGACGAACAATAAGTGATCTTTATTTCAAAATGATAGTCATAATACAGAGCGAGAACGGCGTCGGCTTAGTAGCAAGTAGGACCACCGCGGACGGCGATGCACGCAGCAACACGTCTAGGTAAAGAGTCAATCAGAATACTGATGGCGTCCTGAGGGATGGCTCTCCATTCCCTCTCAACCATTTGCCACAGTTCGTCTTCTGAACGCGGCTGTGGCAAGGCATGCAAACGGCGTCCAATGATGTCCCAGACGTGCTCGATTGGTGAGAGATCAGGAGAGTACGGTGGCCAGGGAAGCATCTGTACATCTTGCAGAGCTTGTTGGCTAATGCGAGCAGTATGCGGTCGGGCGTTATCCTGCTGATAAAGGGCATTGGGTACCCCCTGAAGGTAGGGGAGTGTCACCGGTCGCAGCACATCATCAACGTATCGTTGGGCCGTCATAGTGCCCTGAATACGAAGTAAAGGTGACCTGGAATCATACGCGATTGCGCCCCAAACCATGATTCCACGTTGTCGCACGGTGGGGCGTTCCACAATTGCTGCCGGATTGGACCTTTCTCCACGTCGACGCCACACGCGTACACGGCGACTATCACTGGACAAGCAGAAACGCGACTCATCTGAGAACACGACCCTGTGCCATTCCGTCATCCACGTCGATCTAGCCCGGCACCATTCCAAACGTTGGCGCCTATTCGGTGGGGTCAATGGCAGTCTTCTTAGCGGACGGCATGAGTGCAAGCCATTAGCAACCAATCGACGGGAAATGGTTCTGGTCGAGATGGAATGATCTAGAGTGTCTTGCACATGTTGCAGGATGGCGGTACAAGTGGCTTGTGGGGCCGCCACTGCTTGTCGAAGGATACGCCGATCCACACGTGCTGACGTCACTCTGGTTGCACCGACATTCCTATAAATTGCCACATTTCCTTGTTCCAACCATCTTCTCCACAGTCGGTGCACCGTGGACGCACCAAGGTGTGTATCAGCTGCGATTTGACGTATGGACCAACCTGCCCTTTTCAGTCCGATCACCATGCCCCTCGTAAAAGCGTCTGTCTGCTTGAACTGCCTCCGTTTACGATGACCTGGCATTCTCTGTTATTACACGTGTCTTTTGACACAAGAACAAAATTTCTACAATGATTTTCCTTGAAGAAATAACGACACGAATACTGTCCTTTCTGCAAGTTCCTCCCCTTATATCTTACTCCATGTGCGCACGAGAGCTGCGCATTTTACATCATTTGCATAACTCGGTTAGGCGCGTCTACCCTGAAATTTGCATAATTTTCTGGCCACTATTTCTTGGTGTTCCATTTTCAATGTCACGCAGTGTATTTGTGATATAAATACAAGAAATAATACCTATCTATTAATTAAGAAAATATTTTTCGAAAATGGTGCAAGATATCCCATAAGGGGAATTTCTTCTTTATTTTGTGCATTTTAAACTATATATACAGAATATACTTAATATTTTAACGTAGAAAATTAGGAAAAACAAACTTCAGAATGACACGGCAATTTATTTAAGGCACTAACAAAATCAACATTTATGAAATGACTAGCCGAATGACCCGGGCAACGCCCGGGTTTACCCGATTAAAGGTTTTTACTCAAATACTATTCGTTACAATTATAAATTGGCACCGTGGATGTCACTTTTGTGAAACGTCCCGCTCCAAAATTTGTGTGTTTTTAAAATATAAAAATAAATATGTAAATTTTCACAACGATATTTGAAAATTATATTATTTTGATTTTCAAATACTATTCGTTACAATTATAAATTGGCGCCGTGGATGTCACTCTTGTGAAACGTCCCGCTCAAAACTTTGTGTCTGAGAAGCGATATTTTTATAGAAAGATGATCTGGCTTTTGTTTTCTGCTCGAATGAATGTTTTTCTGTTAGAATTTTGTTCCTGCGTACAAAATAATGAACTGGTTTCACCCGTGGTCTCTGCTTTTTGGAATTTTTCCCGATATAATTTTGTATCTGATAATCAAACATGATACAGCAATATCGTCATCATCATTTTCTGACTAAAAATATATAGTTTTAATAATTGATTTATATATATTTTAAAATAGCCTATCGTCTTCCCCGTATTTCATTACCTATGTATGGAAATTTTGGTTTGAATTTGTGAACTACTGCGAATTTGTATACCGGACATACAAACAAACATACAAACATTGATTTTTATATATATAGACAAGTTAAGCAATGAGGGAAGTTTCCAGAGAGAGAGAGAGAGAGAGTAGCAAAATATAAATAATATAAATATCAAAAATTAATAATCTGTACATAAAATATGATAAATACTTTGCTACAATATAATACTTAATATACGTAATATCCACTATTCCATCTCTCCCCAATTCCTCTTTTTTTTTTTTAATAATCTCTCTTTTTTTTTTCTCCTGGAGAATACTTGGTTATTAACATCTGTTTTTTTTCTGACAGTTATTTTTTTTGCCATGTGTCTTTATATGTAAGTTTTATTATCACCACAATTTCTTTATTGACTACATAGATAGGTAGAACTTCTCTCAGTAAAATTCTTGAGGGATTCTGCAAATTTGTATAAAAACTCATTGGCAAAATAAAATACGAAAACATCCTATAAAAAAGCGTATTAAGTTGATTTATTTGCATAACACAATCATTTGTCATCCTTATATGCAAATGATACTAGCTTCATGGAAATAAACAATGTTGAGAGAGAACTGCGCTAAAGGAAATGCTAAGAAAATTCATGCTTGAATCAAAACTTTAAAAGCGAAAATAAAAATCATATTAGAGATATAAATTTCTTAGAGGTTTACTAAAAATTTTAAAGCTACTTCGAAGGTAATAACGACGTGCTTAACGGGTATTTAATCCAATTTGATTGATATGTTGTAAGTCTTCGAGGGGGAGATTTTTGTCAGATTGCAGAAGAATTGGAAGCGATGTCTCAGCCGTTGCTGGCAGTAACCGGCCTGGGACTCGGTCCACTAAAGCTAAAGATAATCGGCGCCTTCACAAATTGCTAGAGTGTAGGTCAGTGGCTGAAATTTGAGTTTAAATGGATTCCTATTGCAACAATGAAATATATTATGTATGTCTTTAGTATCCCAAAACCTTTACGACAAATTTCTCTAAATTGCGCGCTACATCTATAATCTGAACTCCAAATACATTATTTTTATTATAACTAATTGAACTGGTTAAACTGCTGTTGTGGGACACCACTGCTGAGACAGGCACTCCTAATTTAGTTCTTAAAGATTTACTTAAAATATAAAAGTGTTACTTCAAAGGCAATAACGACCTGCTTAACGGGCATTTAATCCAATTTGATTGATATGTTGTCGAGAGGGAGATTTCTATCAGATTGGAGAAGAATTGGCAGCGATGTCTCAGCAGTTGCTGGCAGTAACTGGTTAAACTGTGTGAGCGAGCTCATCAAGTTTACAGGCAATAACAAGATGTACCGAGTGCAAAACAATAAATCGTTCATCTCATAGATTGTATCAAAGACACCCAATGGCTATAAATATGGGATGATAATGAAAATAAATCACAAACTTATTGGGAGTTCACAAACTAACGAATTTGGTATGATTATTTGTCAGATCCACTTTGGGAGAAAGGGACAAAAATAGAAATTAAAAAGGAACGCTTATAGCAGTTTATTTTCATTAGGAAAACAGGAAATGTATTTTAGGCATGAATAATCATTACGTTGTGTTGGACCTACATTGATATATTTATTTAAAATTTGTCACATTTAAGTTTTTGGCAATCTGTTTAGTTTTAATAATATTGTAACAAAATATTTATTATTTTATTAACAGTGTCCTTTTTTATGTTTATATTTTGCTGCTCTGTAAATTTCCCTCATTGCTTATCTTTTGTTTATCATTCATAGTTTGTTCTTGCCTTAAATAAATTGCTGTGTCATCCTGAATGATGTCATCCCCCAACGGTGTAGGCGCCGCAGTTATTCTGCCACCTCCCTACACCCCAATACAACTAAAGCTCCATAGTCATTGCACCTCCTTATTGGCAGAATTACTAGCTATCCTATACGCAACCAGAGCTATCCAGCTCATGCAAAGGCAACCAACAGCAATTGCTTCTGATTGCCTTGCAGCCCCCACGCCATTTGTAACCAGATCTTCCAAAAACCTCACTTATAGCAGATATAGTTCGCTATCTAAATTATTCGAATGTACAGCTCTGCTGGGTTTAGAAGACACGGCGGGATAGAAGGCAATGAGCAAGCAGATCAATATGCGAAGGCAACAGCTCATTCCAACCTGCCTCTATCCTACTCCACTCTATCTTCTCTTCAGGTTTCCCGCCTACCACCTTCAAAGGTTCCAAACATTTAAGGTTCCAAGGTTCCAAAATATTGATTATTCTAACCTTTTTGGATGAGGTATGAAAGGGTGAACTATGAAGAGCAATGATGAACGGAATTTCACCCTTTCATACCTCATCCAAAAAGGTTAGAAATAATCAATATTTCACCTTGAAATAAATTTTGATTTTTCATTGAAAAGAAACTCATGCGGTGTAACTTCAAGTGTTGTTTTACAATCACAAACCGCAGTGTATTATATTGTATTATAAGTTACTTTATGTATTATTTATGAACGGAAAAATACGTCCAGGGTAGCCTAGTGGACATGGCATCTGCCCGGTAAGCGGAACATTGTGGGTTCGATTCCCATCCTAGGAATAAGTATATTTACTCCTGAAGTCCTGAAGAACATTCCCAATAAAAAATCAGCCTGGTCTGATAAACTAGATGTCTGCTGCCACCAGTAGACGTGAAGTCTAAAGACTAACCCTGATAGTAGGCGACTTTAATACGTGGCTCCAGGCATCCAGAGATAGAGAGTGTGTCATCCTGAAGTTTGTCTTTCCTAATTTTCCACGTGACAATATCATAAAATATAACACACAGAACTTACTACTATGATAAAACTTATTTATTGAGAGGGCCAGTTCATCAGTGGTGAACTCTCTCACCGGCTTCTCCAAATTAATCTCCAGACCGCTCTATTATTATATTGGATTGGTTTTAATATATACCCTGATTTTCTAAGGAAGGCAACTTAGGGTGTTTAGGGAACCTATGGACATAAGCTTATATATAGGTGCATACATATTGTATAGTTCTTCTCATGTATAATTTTCTTACAACATAAACCTTAGATTATTAAAACATTGGATCAGTAAACATGAGGGCAACCATTTCGTTCAATTACATTACTTTATTTTTTCATATAACATTTTTGTAAACAAAAAAGGTGATTGTAAAACGAAAATTGCAATTATACCGCGAATGTTTCTTTTAAACAAAATCGAAATTTATTTTAAAGTGGGTTCGGTTCCCATCCCTGGACACTTTTATTTTTCCGTTTGTCATTACTCTTCACAATTCATCCTCTCATACTTCATCCTTAAAGTTAGAAATAATCGCTATTTCTCTTTAAAATAAATTTAGATTTTTGTTTAAAAGAAACATTCGCGGTATAATTGCAATTTTCGTTTTACAATCATCAGCCGCGTTATATTGTATTTTAAAAAAGGTGATGATGATAAATTCAATGAATATTTACACAATCATAGAAAAATTATATTAAACCTTTATATAAACATAAATATTCTAACTAAATTAAACACATATAATATCAAGAATGATATCTACATTGATATAGGTACAAGAATCTACACAGTGGAAAGATATCTGACACTTTAGATATATAACACTATTTATAATCTCATCTAGTCGTTGCCCCATTTGTTTTAAAAGGTTGAATGTGTTAATAAGCAAGGACAATAAATACAGAAAAATGATTCTTCTTACATAATCCAATATATCCTAAACTCGACAAATTTGTCCATATTGTCCTCTCTCTGTGGTTTAAGATCACCGACCAATCAATGATTGGCGGAAGTTTCTCAGATTTTTTGTGCATCGACCGAATGGATGCAGTGGAAGTAGGGCGGAGAGAGGGGAAATGAAGACATGTAATACGACGGCCAATTTACCGAAAGGCAAGTTCCCAGCTCCGAAACAATGACGGTAGCGAGTCGGGCGGAAGGGGGTGTGGGATAATAAAAACTTAATCATACTAACAAGCGTGGTGATAATCATACTAATTTGCACCCCTAAAGGTTAATTTTCCCTTCAGCCTGGACTACCCATTCATCTCCCCGCACCGTGCTCCAGCCGAGAGGGCTGCTGATTCCCCTTTCAGGGATGGACTCACCTTGTTCTGTGAGACCCATAAGAATTCCTTATATTTTAACATGATTATTGTTGTCGTTGACAATGTTATTTATCATCTCTCTCTCTCATCATAATCGTATATAAGTTAGACTAAATAAAAATCTACCTTCATATGTCACCTGCTAGCTTTTCCTAAATCTTACACGCCATTGAGGATATGACAGAAATAATTGGAATAATTTCACTATAATAATTAAATACAACAAACAACAAAAGCTTTATTAAGACCTTTTAGTCTTATACAGATTCTCTCCAAGCAGAAATATAGGATACATGCAGGAAAAACAGTGATAGAACTTAATGGTATCATGATATTTATATAGAGGGAAAATTATATAAAGACAATCAAGCTAATAGATTAATATGGGCAAATTGGAGGCGAAGGAAGTTACTATACATATAATAATTAAATACAAGGACAAAAGTAGCATATAATAAAACTTTAGGGGAAAAATAAAGCCTATCTGGATGTATAGAAAAATACAAAATAATTCGAAAGATTTCTCCATAAAATGAGAAAATTGAATCGGAATATCGGAATCATTTGAACTTTTTCATATATATACCCACAAAAGTAGGATTTCTTTACTATCCTAATAAAATTAATTTTTGGGCGGAAGGGAGGGGGTTAAAGAGTATTTTTCTTTTTCAAAACATTTACAATTATAAACTAAATCAAAACAAAACTCGTAATGATCCGTTTTTTTCCAAGAATGTCCTATAGGTTCATCATTATAAAACATTATGACTGAAGATAGGGAGTATTTCTATGTTCGAATATTTGAAACCTTAATTGCCATTATCATTTTGAGTCTATACTCGCATGAACAAATATTTCACAGCAGAATATTTTTTCTGAAAAAGAATTTGGATTGAAAACGGGATTTTTCAAACTAGAGAGCGAGAGATAAGAAGGAAGAAAGAAGAAGCGGCTTGTTTGCCGCGGAGAACTTCTAAGAATGATGGTCATGCTAGAAGGAAGTTAGGGCGGTGGGTCCATCCGTCCGGCCGGTAGGTTCCCGATGTCCGGAAGAAGAGCTGGAGCAGGAAGTCGTGGTACACGGGTGACATACTTGACATATGTCCTTACAGATAACTTGTTAATTTATCCTCGTATCAGTGGACTGAGGTGAACTTACAGATAGCTTGTATAAAAGGGCGTACCTCTGGATCTGTAAAGAAAAAAAAAAACATTTTTTTTTTCTCAAAATATTTCGAGAGATTGCTCCCTCTTTATCAATTTATTGCACAGGGATTGCAGAGGGAGCAATCTCTCGAAATATTTTAAGAAAAAAAATTGTTTTTTTTTTTCTTTACAGATCCAGGTACGCCCTTTTATATAATCTTAATTAAAGATCGCCTTTTGACTCAAATTACAGATAGCTTGTTTGTTTATCCTCGTAGCTGTGAACTGAGGTGTTCTAACAGGTATATTATTATTTCTCCTTGTCTCTCGAATTAAAAAAGGTGTTTTCCAAGAGGTCAGCTCTTGTGTCGGTATAAAAACAAAACTGTCCAAAGAAATATTACAGCGATATGATAGATTAAACACTTGGAGCTTCTGGGAGGGTTCACCACTGATGAGTAAGAGCAGCAAAAAATTGTTTAATTTAAAAAAGAATCATACGCTTCAAAAATAGCTTCAATTCCCAAGTACGATTTCCTTAGATTTAATGGATCGCCAATAAACTCAAACGGTATTTTGGAAAATTCGGAAAGCTGATTGTTAGACATTTAAAGAAGCGATGTGTCTGGAAGGTGTGCGCGTGGTACTGGCAACTTGCTCTGCTCTGGTTGTCCTACTGGGAGTCCAGCTGGCGGGGGATTCCGTCGTGCCTCAGGACTCCTGCGCCCCACGTATAACGGTACTGGCGCTGGTGCTCGCTGTGGTCCTGGCAGTCCGTCACGGGATCCGGAAAGGCCTGACCAGCCTGGGGTTCACTTTGCCCCGGATCTCCTCCAGTCTATTTCAAGATGACTGACCATTGGTCAAATACAGTGTTGACTAGCGAACGCCAAATTATATAACACAATTCTTATTTTGAATTCTAGTGGATTTATTCAAAGATTTCTCTAAATTTAGCAAGTTTTAAATTTATATTTCAGTAATAATATTTTATATTTGTGCTTCTGTACCTAAGGATGATTTTAATCTCAAAAATGGTCTCTGGAATAATAATAAAAAAAGAAAAAAAAATCTGAGACAAAATCGAATCAATAACTTGCAACTTATCTTTTTTATCTCTCTCATTTAAACAGAATACTGGAGCTAATGGAGTTTTGGAGGATATTTTAAAAATCACCGTAAGAATTTACTTTAGTGAGTGTAAATTTATATTTTTTCTTTCACATTATATCTAGATTTATATCTGACCATTAATTTTGGAAATGGTAATTATCTTATGGTTAGACCCAGAGTGGGTTGTATGAGTATCTAGACGCAAAAATGATTGAAGATTGAGGGAAGATTAACTAAGGAATTTATATATAATGAATTTTATAAAACCATTATATTTATAGATGGACTCTCTAAAAAAGTGTTTATAATGAATTGATATTGAAAATTCAAAATACACTGGTGTCCAAAAAATAAGAAACTTAACCAATATTGAAATTTCTCAAAAGCTAATTTATTGACAAATATAAAATTTAGTATACAAATAGTTTAAACTATGGAGAATTTGACTAGCTATATGAAAATAAAAAAATATTTGAAATTATAAAATATGCAAATTATTACCAACATACCCAAAGCTAAGGTTCCAGATCTTAAAGAAATAAGATATCAATAGGGAGTATGATCACCTCCAACAGCTATCAAGGTCTCACAGCGAGCCCTCATACTGTTTACCAGGCTTTGGAGGAGGTCCAGGGGTAGTAAACCCCACTCCTCCAATAGAGCAGTTCTTAGCTCAACGAGGGTTCTGGGAGAGGGGTGACGAGCTCCAATACGCTTCCCTAGAGCATCCCACACATGCTCTATTGGATTTAGGTCCGGAGATCTGGCTGGCCAATCCATCCTTCTAATATTCTCACTCTGGAGATATTCATTGACTAGCCTAGCCCTATGCGGACGAGCATTATCGTCCATTAAAATTAAATTGTGACCAATTTGATCTCTATAAGGTCTTAAATAGGGCTCAAGGATCTCGTCCCTGTACCTTTGGGCAGTTAAAGTGCCCCCAGAAAAAATGTGGAGGGGTGTGCGTCTGCTAGAACTGATGCCAGCCCAGACTAAGAGACTGCCCCCTCTAAAACTGTCTATTTCCCTGATGTTACTGGGATGATATCGGGTTCCAGGCTCCCTCCAGATGAAAACTCGTCGAGAATCTGTGCTTAAACTAAATCTTGACTCGTCACTGAAGAGAACATTGGCCCACTGATCATGAGTCCAGGCGTGATGTTCCAAGCACCATTTCAAGCGGGCTCTCCTGTGAGCA